TTTGAAAAAATACCTTACATGAAAACCTGTAGGGGTTACAAGTACTTACATCCAATATTATATGTAACCTTATAGGTACCAGTACTAGGGTTAACATATTACTTCTCACTGTTAAAGGTATCATACTTTACGGTGTGTATCAGGAGATATGTTAAGCAAGGTTTATGTTTATAAACATTTAATTTTCAATTAAGATTTCTCCGAATGGAAGAAAAATGTTTTGTGACTAATTTGGCTGGAAACAATTTGAAAAATGTTACTTGTTTGCCAGTAAATTAACTTCAATACTTGTATTCAGAGTTTATAAGTTGTTTTTAGGAAAAAAAGGTTGGAACTAGTGTTATGTTAAAGAATGATATGATAACTACCCATCAGTTGATATTACAGTTATACCAATAGGTCCTGCATGTTGATTACTAATTAACATTACTAGTAATTCACATACAGTTTGGACATGACAGAGTATAAACTGATGACAAACATCATTTATTCTTACAGCAGCCTTTAAACACTGCTACAAACAATTTCTTACTGTTAGGTCATGCTTAATTCATTTTGCTGAATGCTGAATCATTTCCCTGAATTATTTACCTTAGAAATTAAAATAAATGTACAGTTTGAAGCATCCAAAATCATATAACAATATTTATTTGGGTAGCACATGATATGTAGAGTAAAAATGATGATAATTTGTATATTTTCAGTAAAAACAGACAGACAAGAAGGTTTTCATATAGATTTAGATGATTACTTGATGGGACTCTTGCAACTGGCCAGTGAATTGGTATATTTATGTTATATATTTATGTGCAACAAAGCAGATACCACAAACTCATTTTGAAATAATTTCCAATAATATGAAAAATAAACCAACAAAAATCATAATGAAATAACCCATTGTTTGCTTGTGTAAAAAGTAATTTATATTTTACAAAAGTTTGTGCCAGTATATATTTAAAGAAAAAACACAGCAAAAACAAGTCCAAATATATTCCGTATTGTACAGTAAAGTGTACAATATAATTACACTTAGCACCTCTTGACTGCATTTAAACTCATCCCCACGGCACACACTATATCCATATAATTTTTCACATAAATACCTATCAAGGCTTTCTGGTTCATACTCATCCCCATTTCCCTTCCTCACTCTCAAATAAAAACTTTTTAAGATTAAGTTCAGCTATGCAGAGGGAATTTCTTCCAAGTTGCGCGATTCAGATGGCAGTGTAGCAGTCAACCATCGCATAAATATTCCATCTGATTTGGTCTTGCTCACAGTGTTTTTAGCTTTCTGTCCATTGACAAAATCAGAATTCTTGGTCTATTTACATTTTGCCAGTATTGTTTACTGCACACATATCAAACGGTCCAATACGAAAATAATATATTTTTGTTTATCCAATTCGGGAATATTTTGGAGGTACAAATGCAGATTGTCAATTGGTTAGATTTATCAGATATATAATAAATAAATATATAACTCATGTATTCATACTTGTGTAACTATACCTTTAATTTATTCCAGTCGAGACTGGCAGTAAATTCGGTGACAGCTGGTGACTACGGTAGACCAATGAGAATTGCAAAGTTTGTGGGAGAGCTAGACTCCGGTTTTAGACTACTCAACCTTAAAAATGATTCACTGAGAAAAAGATTTGATGGTCTGAAATATGACCTGAAGAAAGTAGAAGAAGTTGTGTATGACCTGACAATTCGTGGATTAAAGCCAACAGAATGAATACTTTCTATGATCTTTAAACTGGGAACAATTGTTTTCTTTTTTATAAAAACAAAGCTGTATTTTGTTATAAGCTTGACTATTTGAAGAATAGGGAGGGCTAATGTACTCACCCAGGTGTTGCATTGGTGTTGCCTTCACACTTTGGTTAAGTTTTTGCGTGCAAGTTTGTATCTCAAAAAAACTGAAGGGAATGGGTTGAAACTTCATACTTCTGAGAGGAAAAATGTCTTAAAGGTGGTCACTGTCCAAGGCCCATAACTCTAACATGGATTTTTACAGAATTATGTCCTTTTTGAAGGTGAAAATTCTACATTATCCAGGTTCTGTTTCACTATCAAGCACTGAGAGTAGTCGAACACACTGTTAAACTGACAGCTCTTGTTGATTTTTTTTTATATCTACCTAGCAATGGCAGCTAATTACTTCATTTGTAAGGCATTATGGTTTTGTTATGTACATATTATCTGGGTGGCACAGATGTTATATTGAATGTTTTATAATTCTTTACTTTAATGCTAAATGAAAAATAAATTCAAACTGCAAAATGTTATGTTGTTTTAGATGTTCAAGGCTTATTGTATATATAAATGTGTGTTGTTTAACTGAAATAATCTGTTAAATTTATGCAATGTTGTATCCCTGTTCTATATGAAAATAGAAGAAACAGAAGACTTTTTAATTAGACAGTAAGGAAAGAAAGGTAAAGTCTTCTTTAGACAAGACCATTTCTTACACGTTATGATCTTGTTTGTACGAAAAAATCAAGAAAAGTATTATTAACCACTCAACCCCCTCCCCCCACCCCCACGGTCTCTCATGAAAAAAGACCAAACAGAGTTGTAAAGGGTGAATAAATAATCTTTTTAAGTAGAAAAAGTAATGGGGATTACAGAGTTCAAGTTCTAGTTATCTGCCCTTTGATTAAGTTGTGCTGTTTGTTTTAAAGGCAGATAATTCACAATTAAGGTAAGCAGTGCCCAATTTTTCTGCTTTTCATGTAGCTGACTTCCTTTTAAATAATTGTGTTGGTCAAAAGTAATCCATTTCTTTTTTTTCTTTACCTTAACCTTTGCCATTTAAAAAAAGAGGAAAAATTTGCTTGTTTTATGAGTTTTTAGTCTGACTACTTAATTGATTAATTTAATGGAAGTAATGAAATTTTGTATTGTCATAAAGGATAAAATTTGAAAAATGTAAATAGTAAAATAATGTTGTCAGACTTCTGTATAAGTTATCTGCCCCTGAAATAAGCAAAATATTCAAATTAAAGTGCAGTAATCTAGATAATGAGCTCAGTGACCCATTAATTTATTTGCCTAGAAAATGGTTTCTGTTATTTTACTCAAAGATAATGTGAAGTTTAGTAAAATTTTATTAAACAGTCTACAACTGTTTTCAATCTGCTTGTATATATTTGTATTTAAAGCCAACAGGACATTTTTTTGCATTCTTTATCAAACAAACAGACAACATGTGAAAGCAAAATTGTCTTCATCAATTAAAATTTTATATGTGGCAACAAGCATATGTGTGTACAGATTTTCTCTTGCTTGATTAAATTTTTTGATATATATTTAACTTATTTGCTCAATTTTATAACCAGTTTGAGTAATACTTTTTCCAAACATGACATGTTTTCTTAAATCAATACTCTACTGACAAAACAGCATGCTAGGGTATTTGTGCCAGTACATGACACTTCTTTTAGTTAGCACATAGCATATTTTAGGATCAATGTTTGCCAGTTGTCTACAGTATGATTGCATGATAGAGCTTTCATTATAGCTGCTTACTACTAGTACAGAAATATATCAAAATTTATCTGATACTATCATGTATGGCAGAGTTGTAGCCCTTTACAGGTATATTGTGTCTTTGTGCATCCCAGTAGTAACATTTGTGATTAGATCTGAACCAAAGATGCACACACTTTTTTTTAACCAGTGCATATTGGTTCTTACTTTAAAGTAGCCTTATGCCATCATATTATTAATTTATGGAATAATGATCAGGATAGTCGTTGTTTGCATTGTCTGTACACCCCATAAACAATGGGAACATACTTTGTAAGGGTTAGTCTGTACATCTGTAGGTTTGTACATCACTTCTACCTTGTCGAGAAGGAATACACAGTGGTTAGGAGCTTGGAAGAGACATTGCCCATGGTTAGTAGAATACCCATATTTATGTCAATTACTTCAGCTTTGACCACTTTAAGTTTGTCCTGCCAATACATAGAAAACGATTGGTCTGCAGTCCAAAGATTTGGTGTGAAGGTTCGTTATAACTAGAAGATGACCCATATAGACTTTGAGGTCACTGCCATGTAAACTGAAAGCTTGTATAACCAATAACCCTTCAATTGTGTAGAGTTTGGCCATGACTAGAAGGTGAGCCCCATTGATTGAAGCTAACAGTAATGGATAATGATAATTATTCTGATCAAGTACAAGATTTTCACCAGTCATTGGTTTGTGAAATTTGTTTGTTAAAACACCATTATTATATATGTTATATGATATAACACTTGACATACATAAGTGTGTACATGTGCTACTGGCAGCAAATTGGGACATTAGTGTCCTATGGACATATTTCTAGTTTACTTTAATTAACCAAACTTGCAAAGAAAATGTGCCATTAATAGGGATAGGGCTGATTCCTCTTGCAGGACAGACATGCATCCACTGAAATAACCCAAATACAATGAAATATGCATACATTTGTATATGTAAAATTAAAAAAAAAATTCAGTCACGGGAAGTGATTTGATCGGTTAACTATTTGAATTTTTGGCCGGGTTACACAGGTGCCAGCCGGGTGATAGTATGGTGAATGTCGGGCGGACGGGCGTAGAAATTTTTTTCGTAACAGTTTTCTCAGCAACTACTTATCACAGCCTCTGATATTTGGTTTACATCATTAGCACGTGGTCCCACGCGGTTTTCAGGTCTGTCGCTTATCCACTTCCTATTTACCTAATTAGTTTAATTTTCGACATTAATGGTGAATGGTAGGAAATTTTCGTAACAGTTTTCTCTCACAGCCTCTTGATATTTGGTATACAACATTAACACGTGGGATTTAATTTCAGGCCCATTCCTCATCCACTTCCTGTTTACAGACGTACAAAAATGGTAGAAAATTTTTGTAACATCACAGCCTCGTGATATTTAGTATACAAAGGCAACCCGGCCATTTCTGTCTTTGACCCATTTTATTTTTTTAATGAGTTTATTTTCACTTACTCCTATTGCGAATATCTGAAATTTTTTTTTATTACTCTGATAACGTTACTTACCAATCTTAACTATCATGGACATGACATCTCGCACACGCCTATGATGAATAACCTACGAAAACAACAAATGGAAAATTAATCCCATATTATTGCCCTTTGAATACGACAAAATTGTAAACAAGTATCGTCAGCAAACTTGTTCAGGCACTAAATCACAGCCATTCTGCTCATTTGTGTTGCCAATAGTAATCAAATTATCACAAGATAATCTCCTGTTGACCATCATGAACTAAATTGGTAAGAATTCTGTACCGTATCACAGGGTAGGCACTTTGTCAAATTTTGGTTACAATAATAAAACGACCGATGATAACGTTGTTATAACATTGGCATCACATCGTATGTATGATGCTTTCCCAAACAACCATATTTGAGCCGCGTCACGACAAAACCAACATAGTGCGTTTGCGACTAGCATGGATCCAGACCAGCCTGCGCATCCGCGCAGTCTGATCAGAATCCATGCTGTTTGCCTACCAACTCTATTACAAGTAGAGAAACTGATAGCGAACAGCATGGATCCTGATCAGACTGCGCGGATGCGCAGGCTGGTCTGGATCCATGCTGGTTTCAAACGCACTGTGTTGGTTTTGTCGTGACGCGGCTCATTTTTGTTATTTCGAATAGTGTTGTATTGTTTATAAATAAAAATATGACAAAAAACTGATTTCAAAAAGACGGCGGTGGATAATATTGCAAAGCAAAGCGACGTATCCGTTTGCTTGAGCGTTCTATTTAACACTACGTACTTTTTACCTGACTTAGATTAGCACATATATAACAAAAGAATGGGATAAATACACATGTAATGATTTTTAAAATAAACAGCAAACTCATTGATTAAGAGGGTTTAAGCCCTCGAAACGTTGGAGGTTGATAAAACTGTGAAATAGATTTATTTATTGTTTAGCGGACTTATTTGATTCCGACCATTTCCTTTACATTAGTATGTTAAAATTGACCCGTCATACAATATGATTATTTTATTATATAACTTAGCAATAATATGTAATTCATTTCCTTCTTTAAACTTTGGCATAATTTCCTAAAATTAGTTTAGGGTTTAATACAATCTGGTTATATGGAAGGAGTGAGTGAATGCTTTAATTTTAAACTAATGGCTGATATGCCATTAAATAGCCTTTCTTTAAAACTTTTAATATTGATCAATCCTGTAATAATTTATCGGCGAGATATGTCCTGTCGCCTATATCAGATGCGAAATCTCAGCGGAAACATAAACATTTATCAAAGTTATCTATAAATGAAATGTTTATATTCGCCCACAATTAAATATATAAAATAAAAGTAACAATTATACTGAAATTATATAATTCATCTTAAAGAACGCATTTTATCGACACATACACAGTACATGCAGTACGTGTGAAAGAAACGAAGGTATCAAAAATATCAGGCTTGACATATACATGTATTAACACAAACAAAAAATTAATAACTGGTATGCTGAATTGCGACGCAAAATGCTCATAATTTAAAGTATTATGCCGACTCTAGCGCCGTATTGCGCACATAGTTTATATCATTGCGGTCCTATGAATACATTCTGTTGTATAATTGACCATGTTTCAATTAATTTAAAACGGTCATTTTACACTTTTTAATATGATTAAATTCTTGATACAAATATAAAACAGTTTACCGTATGAAACATATTGGATATTTTAATAACAGTTTTGCATCAGTTATGTAAAACAACAGCAAGATATGTTTTTATCTGGTGACCTCGTGTGCCCTATCGTGCATCATTTGAGGTAACCACCGACCTTCCGTAGCATAGCTGCATTGATTCCCCACATGAAAGAATCCTATGTCCCCGACGGGATTTGAATCCATAGCGTTGAGGGGTTGAAGTGTTTTGAATGTGACCTCTAAAAGCTTATATAAACAGCTTATATTTCTTAATTTAATGATTAAAAAATAGAAGAAGATTAAGAAAAAAAAAATAATAAGGAGAAACAAAAATATATGTTCCCCGTGTGGCTTGGATTTCGTGACGGTGGTTATCTGGTTTTGTTGGGGGCTGCGTTCATTGCATGTCGGCTTTCCTTGTCGATCTTTGTTCTTGTGTGTTTTGTACCTACGGCCCTTGTAAATCACAAATAATACCTTCCAGAAATAGGCATTAAAGCAGTACATGTATAGTAAAGTAACCAAATAAGTAATTTACATATTGTAACCGGCACTTTCAATCCACGTTAATTACCACATAAAGGTGCAACTATA